GACCTATTTGAGGTTGTATGTCAGAGCGCTGCTCGATAATGTTAACATATATGGAAGATGATGAGAGAATCCACCAATGATGTATGACATATCCAATGTTGTATGTCAGAGCCCTGCTCGATGATGTTAACATATATGGAAGAGGTCGAGATAATCTACCAAAGATGTATGACCTATCCGAGATTGTATGTAATAGCTCTGCTCAATAATGTTAACCTATATGGAAGATGACAAGAGAATCCGCCAAGGATGTATGACATATCCGAGATTGTATGTTAGAGCACTACTCGATCATGTTAACCTATATGGAAGAAGATGAGAGAATCCACCAATGATGTATGACTTATCGGAGATTGTATGTCAAAGTCCTACTCAATGACGTTAACATATATGGAAGAGGTTGAGAGAATCTACCAAAAATGTATGACCTATCTGAGGTTGTATGTCAGAGCCCTACTTGATGAAGTTAACATATATGAAAGAGGACGAGAGAATACACCAAGGAAGTATGATCTATCTGAGGTTGTGTGTCAGAGCGTTGCTCGATGACATTAACATGTGTGGAAGAGGCCGAATCGAATTCCCCTGTGATTGATTTTTTCTTGACTGGGAGGGGGCGAACGTTGCGTGTATCTGAAATCAAGGTGAAGAATGGTCTATTTTTAAATCGTTACTGCATTTTTTAGGTCAAGATTAAGACATTACCCATGGAATAGAAGTCCAACAAAGGACTATATAAAACTTATAATTGATTGAAAGAATCCTTGCATTTGTTGAGAATTTTATCATCTTGATGTTTAAAACATCGGAGAATATTTTTAACCACAATTGGAATCAAAGTTGACCCCCACTCCACATCTGATTCTTATAAAATAGATATAATAATAACTAATATCAAGATGTTAACAAGAGCAATCTATTGAGATTGGAGCAATAGTTGCCCCCTAGTCAGTAACGACGTTCTCATAGGCGGCGCCAAACTTTTGTATCCTAAAATATTCGCGGTGGTAGAGAAATATAAAGTTTAGTGTCTTAGCTTTTAATAAGATCCATCACACATATAGATAAAAAGATAGGGTACATCATTTATAAGAGACACCTATATTTTTATGTGGAAAACCCTAAAAAGGGAAAAAATAAAACTTAGGGCCAAGCCCAATTTGAATGAGTCCCATTGGGGGGAAGGCCTTGACTTGATGTAACAAATATACATCAAATAGAGTGTGTTACATGATGAAAATAGGAAGAATAATTATTGAAGTATTCATGACGATGGAGGTTGGAAGGATCGTAGTCGGCGGGCGACGAAGATTAAAAGAATCATTGTCTGGATAGAAGTCATAAAGACCTTTGTCTAGCGACGAAGGTCAGAAGGACAATAGTTGGTGAGTGACGGAGCACTAAAGGACCATAGTTGGTGGGTGACGGAGGTCATAAAGATCGTTACATGGCGAGGAGCTTAGAATGATAGTAGTCGGTGATGAAGGTCAGAAGGATGGTGTCGAGTAGAAGTTCGATGATGGACAAAAGTCAGCAGAAGTCCAGTGTTAGATAGAAATCTAGCAACGGGCGAAAGTCCGACATCACGTAGAAATTCGGTGAAGGGTGGAAGTCTGACGTCGGGTAGAAGTCTGGCTCTGGGCAAAAGTCCGGCATTGGATAGAAATCTGGCGACTTGTAGGAGTCCATTGGGTAGAAATTCGACGAAGGGAGAAAATCTGGCGTTGGGTAGAAATCCAGCGATGAGCAGAAGTTCGGCATCTGGTTGAAGTCCTGCGATGGATGGAAGTTTGGCATCCGGTAGAGGTCCGAGGATGGGCGGAATTCCGGCATCAGTCAGCAGCCAGGTGAAAGTCCGTCTGTGGTCGAGAAGGAGTATGGTGGTAAGAGAGCTTTCTTCCTTCTCTTAATTTTCTTCCTTCGCTTCTTGTTTCATTGTTTCTTTCTCTTCTCTTCTTCCTTGGCCCCCTTTCTCTTCCCCCCTTTCATGAGGAATGATGAGTCTATTTATAATTTTCTAAAAGTGGCATGACCAATAAATAAGAGGAAGATCAAGGGTGAATTGGGAGTGGTTTGATTGGACGACCAATGTTGAATCCCTCGATCATATACTGTTTACCAGGCATTTGAATGTCTTAATGATATCATAATTTGACAATCTTGGGCTCGTTAAATTCTTCTCATCGAGATGCTCGATTCGTCTATAAGCATGTCACATTTCAAATCTATTTAGTAATACAAATTATGATTTGAACCCTCCAAATACACTTCGGGTCTTTGATTTGGACCTATTTGGGCTCGAATTGAGTCGTATTTGGTGTCGTTGGGTTCGTATTTCAGAGACGTTTAGTTCGACTATAAGTTTGTTGAAATTGAAGTTTGTATTAAATTTTGAAGTTTTGAACTTGATTTTGCCTTGAGATTCATATACGATCAAGATTATTTTTTAATGATATATCAAATACAAAGCGAATTCAATATTTGCATCAGATTTTAAAAATGATTGGAGACTTTCTACATTGCGTTTTTCCAAAGCGGATTCAATATTTGCATGGGCGTCGTTCAATTATTACGTTCGGTCACCGAATGCGTTCATAGACCAATAACCACGCGCCACGTCACTTGAAATTCGGTATTGAGTACTCGGTATTACTCGGCATACATTCGGATACGTTCGATTTTAACCGGTCGTAATAATTACTCCTACCTTTTTGGGGAAGCAAATTCAATAATTATTTGAAACTTTTTGCGTTGTGTTTGGCTTCAGCTTCGGTGGTTTAATAGTAATTAATCTTCCTGTTAACATTAATTAATAATGTTTAGGCGAGTGTTAAAGGATACTTTGAAGATTATAGAATATTGTTGCATACAGGAGTATTCGCGGCGGTAGAGAAATCTAAAGTTTAGTATCTTAGCATTATACGAAAATCCGGCACGCAATCAGATAGGAGAGAGGGTCTAGCATTTATGAGACAACAAGATTTTTACGTGAAAACCCCTAAAAAGGGGAAAAAACCACGGGACCTAGCCCAGTTCGAATGAATCCACTAGTATAGCAGTTGATTACAAATGAGGCCTTTCCTTGGGAGAAGGTCTTAGCTTGATGTATATTTTATAGAGTACATTACATGATGTGAATATAAAGAGTCACTATTGACATAGTCGGCAGACGACGGAGGTCAGAAGAATCGTAGTCGGCGGGCTACGGAGGTCATAAAGACCGTAGTCGGTGGGCGACAGAGGTCGGAAAGACTATAGTCGGCGGGCGACATAAGTCAGGAAGACCGTAGTCGGCTGGCGAAGGAGGTCGGAAAGACTATAGTTGGCGGGCGACGTAAGTCAGGAGGACCATAGTCGGCTGGCGACGAAGGTCGGAAAGACTGTAGTCGGTGGGCGACGTAAGTCAGAAGGACCGTAGTCGGCGGGCGACGAAAGTCGAAAAGATTGTATTCGGTGGGCGACGTAAGTCAGAAGGACCATAGTTGACTGGCGACGGAGATCGGAAGGACTGTAGTCGGTGGGCGACGTAAGTCAGAAGGACCGTAGTCGGCTGGCGACGGAGGTCGAAAGGACTCTTGTCTGACGACGAAGGTTAGAATGACGATTTCAGGTAGAAGTCCAACAATGGCAAGAAATCCATCTTCGGATAGAAGTCCAGCGAAAGTTTGATAACCGATAGAATTCCGGCGTCGGGAAGAAACTTGGCGATGAGTGAAGGTCCGACGTCGGGTAGAAGTCCAACATTTGTTGAAGGCCGAGGAGAACTCTGATATCACTTGGGCGGAGTTTTGACGTCAGGGGGAACTCTGTCGTTACTTGGGCAGAATTTCAGCGTCCCGTGGAAGTCGGGCAGAATTCTGGCCTCATTTGGAGTTCGGGTGGAACTCCGGCAATGATCGAGGAGGAGTCTCTTCCCTCCTATTCATCTTGCTTGCATTTTCCTTCTTCTCTTCTTCCTCTTGCTTCTGTCCTCTCTCATGAGAAATGAGAGGTCTATTTATAGATATTCTAGAGTGGCATGACCTGCAAATAGATGAGAGATCACGGGCAAATAGGGAGTGGTCAGATGGACGGTCGATATTGAATCCCTTGTTCATGTACCGTTTGTAAGGCATTTGAAGGTCTTAATGATGTCGGAATTTGGCTATTTTGGGCTCGTTGGATTTTTCTCGTCGAGCCGCTCGATTCAACTACAAGCATGTCATGTTTCGAAACCGTTTGGTAACTCAAATTATGGTTTGAACTTTCTAACAGCGCTTTGGGTCCTTGATTTGAACTCATTTGGACTCGGATCAAGTTGAATTTGGTGTCATTGGGTTCGTCTTTCCGAGACGCTCATTTTGACTGTAAGTTTGTTGAAATCGGAGTTCAGATGCTCCCGGATTAAATTTTTGAAGTTTCCGACTTTATTTTGCCTTGAGATTCGTGCCCTATCAAGATAATTTTTTGATAATATATCAATTATATAACTTAATTAGAAGAATTATTAATATTATTATTATTGTGCCTGGAGTGAAAATGGTGAAGTTGGTGAGATTGTTTTGTAGGGAAAGTAAGATCGGACGAATGGACGGTTGATATTTATTTTCACCAATGTTGATTATTGTTGATCAAAGTCAAAAGTGAAAGATGCGGCAAATTTTTAATTAAAAGGACACGTGCTTAAAAAAAAACTTTTTATGAATTTGTGTTAAATAATTTAAAATTTATCACTTTTTTTAATAAAAAATTATTTTTAGAATATTTATTTAAATTTACCCTCTTCAAAAGACTTATTTAAATAATGGGAACATCCGCAACTCATCTTATTGAGAATTTGATTGCAAACTAAAAAATATTGAATTCAAATCTTACATATTCAATTTGAATGTGAGATTGTTTTAATTGACCTAAATGTTTTTTTTTTTTTTTTAAGGGGGGAGGGCAGATTTCATCATATAATAAAAGCTTCACAAGCTTTTTTTTTTATAAGCCTCTAATGATAAGACTTTTGGATCCCATTAGGCTTTGGTACCTTAAAATCATTCCCAACTTGCATATCACAAAGTTTATACATAGATTGAACAGAGTTTTTTCATATACAAATCTCCAACGTAGTTCTTTAATATACATTCAAGTGATGGGTTTTCTATTCTTAGCAAGAATATATATCCAAGCGCAATAGTCGTGTGTAGCGGCAAGCAAGCTTGCACAGCGCATCGTAGATGACAGGTGTTGCCTAGCATTAATGTCTTTAACTAGCGTGGACAGAAGGGTTGGAAGGTCCTATAGAAACCCTGCTAGTGAGAGCAGGCCTCATGGTAACAATGGCTGATTCATTTGCTCCAGCCAATAGTGCTGCTTTTCCAGCTTCTAAGAACCTTGCCACTGCATCCTCAGCATAGCTGTTTGCTTGGCCGACGGTTAAGCCATTGCCAATGTGTGGGTATGTGTTAAGAACATGATCTCCATTGAGCTGAGAAGCAAGTTGGATCAACTCCTCTTGAAACTCTGACAGAGATGAATCTTCTCTTGGACCATGAGGCCTCAATGATCTTGTTACCTCTGGTAGTTTTTCTGCATTTTAGAATGAAAGGTTTGTCAGCATTTGGAGAGATTATGTGGTAAAGATTACATACGTTGCTTTACATTTGGAGAAATTATGAGCTTGCTTTTATGTTCGACCAAGGTTGTAGCTTATTTTGATCCTCAAACTGACAGTATCATTTTTATATACATATTGCGATGTTTCATTATATAGAATTTCATTAAATCAACGCAAGCACAACCATAATTAAAGAAGAATCAACTTCATTAATAAGATTTTTCTTTCATTCTTTTCAAGGAATAATATTATGGATGTGACCTTCACAATCATTATCAACTCTTTTACCATAGCTTCTATGGTTTAATTTATATTAAATGCTTGAGGTTTCTAGTTCATTACACAATAGAATATGTATCCTAAAAAAGGGAGATTATAGCATAAATTGATACAATAAAAATGGGGCTTTTACACCACATGCAAGGAACACATAAGAATATAGAAAGACAAAAGAAAGAAAAAAAATGCATTGCTACATTCAATTATATATGAAGAACAAATTTAAGAAACTAGATTCACAAAAAATCTACTGGCAAAAGAAATATTTAGCATGTGGCTAATCTAGTGCATGATTATTTGTAAGGTTTGATACCATTTTGCAATTGCATTGTCATAAACTCTCTTCCTATGTTCCTAGCTCTTCTCAACATTACCAAGTTAAGATCTATGGTATTAAAATGAATAATATTTCATGTAATCCACATCACAATTTTGTGCTTTCTTCTATGGGATGTGAAAAAAGTATTCACATTTTATAATTTCTAGACCATGTCAATCAATATAATGACTATGGATGGAGTTTGTTATCAAAAATGATATTAATAAATTAATTTATGAAGATATGCAAAATAACATAAAATTAATATATATAAGAACCTGGACAATCAGTGCGAGGAGTCTTTCGAAGGGAGAAGTAGCTTTCAAAAGTTCCAGCCCATGCATCCCTGTTTGTGAGAAAATTTGACTTCATATTGAACAGCTTTTTAACTGTGGCAGGGACTGATGAATGTTCGAATTGTGAACTTTTAGTTGGCCCATTAGGCTCATGAATCACTGCATAAGTGGAAAGGATGCATCCGAATATTACATTATGAAGTAATGCAGCAAAAAGAAAAAACAAGTACCATTCAGAATTTTTATATCAAACATTATCTCAGAATGTTCCAAGGTACAGCACATCAAGGCTGATGCTTCTTCCTATACTTGCGATCCTTATTCAATGAAGCAAACTATTAGGAACAAATAAGGCTAATAAGTTTTTGTTTATAGTTAGGAGAATTTATAAATCTAACTATTCATATTTTAATTCATCAAAAAATAATTAGAGAAATTAGTAAATAATTAGACCAACTAATTTATCAAAGCATTCGAATATAATTTAAAACTTAACAGTTCAACTAATTAGCTACTATAAATGATTACTAAAATGGCCTATGTAATCAGACTAATTAAAAATTAACTACGCTTTAATAATTGATTAATTATAAGATGATAATATATCCTAATTATTTGGACCTTAGTTCACGAAAATAACTAGTCTAACTAATTAATGATTAGTAAGTGAAAGTAGCCTAATTAGTAGGTTAATTGAAGAAGATAAGGTAACTAAACATTAAATAAATATAATAATAATATGATAGTCTGGTTCCTCTTACATTATTGAATTAAAATTAAAGTCTATTTATTATGCTACTTGAATTAATAAGACAATAAGATAGTCTGATTGCTCTTACATTATTGAATTATAAGGATAATAAGATAGTCTGATTGCTCTTACATTATTGAATTAAAAATTTAAAATTATAGTCTATTTCTTACATTATTGAATTAATAAGGTAGTCTGATTGTTCTGAATATTAATACAATGATTAATTAAAAAATTCTAATTCATTAGGCATTATTTAATAATTAGGCCATTAAGCTATTGGGTAATAAATAATGGATAAAAGTATTAAATATGCTAAATTATTTATGCTAATCATGGGTTGATTAAAATAATAATGTAGTAATTAGTAATAGTAGTGATAAATAATAATTAGTCATGCGCCAATTAGTTAATAAGGAAATAAATATAGTTAACTAAGTATTTTGGAATCATAAAAATATTTGCTTAATAATCTGCAATTTTTGACACAAACCATGACAACTAAGGCACCTTCGAAGGACTGAATTGGACTCTAAGTTGACACAAAATTAAAATGAATTAACCCATGCACATGCTTGAATTGTCTTAAATGATTTCCAAGCATCCTAATTAGGGTCAAATAAGGATAATACATGTTTGAATATACCAAATTAGAGCCTAAACAAGTTTGAAACCGCATGAATATACACTAAACTAACAATAATCACGTCAAAGTAGACTTACCCAGCCCCTCCTGAACTAATCATCTTCCTCCTAGCATTGTGCAATGCTTAATTGCATGAATAGGGAGAAGGTAATTTCAACTAGCAACATCACCTCTAATTGCTAGGTGCTGGTGATTCGAGCCCTTAAGCACCAACTGCTGCTATAAATTAAGCACAGAGGATGCCTCAATCGTCACCACTATGCCCTCATTTAGTCACAAAAAGATTAAGTGAAGCTCAAATATTCTCTAAATTACTATATTCAGCATAATCAACCTTGTCTCAAATCATTTATATCATAATTTTTGTCTTAAAATGAGAAAGTACTTTCTCTATCTTTGTGAACACTAGTGATTAGTCTCATTGGGTCTATAAAAGGCAGCAACAAAAGTCCCAAAAAAAATTTCCATCAATTTATCACAGAAACTATTAATTTTTGTTAATATCACTGCAGAAGCCCCATATATTCTGATCTTCAATCGAAAGCAACAGTCACTCAAAATCACAACCAATACACTACATTTGAACTAGCGGTAATCCTTTTTTATTAGGTTCTGTATAAATCTTGATGGTGAGGCAAGTTAACAACGATATTCATCTTACTTTAACATATTTGTTATCCAGCCAAAAATTCTACTAGAATAAACTTCCTCTACATATGGCCATGTTTAACAAAAAATCGAAACCCACCTGGCCATCACCCCTTAGTCCCTAGCTACCTGTTAACGTCTTTTGATATCGATGACCAATCAAATTCCTTGTATCTTACTGCCAAATTTCTTCTCTTACGATCATTTGGACTTTCCTATTAACAAATAGCCAACCACCATCACCAACATCTTGTTGATCACCTTTCTTGATGCAAAGCCTCCATTCTTAATGGGTTCTAGGTTCAATCCCTAGGAGTTTTCTACTATACAATAATATGTCTTTTGTAAGTTTGTGTAATTTAAACTTTCAAAGCTAAGTCCACGGTAAAGCAGTTTCAATCTCATGATTCATAGGAATATTTTTGGTATGCTGTAATATTAATAATCATGATATTACACTTGCAGGATAAATAATGCTAATAAGTCACGAACTAATAATTAACATAAGCATACATTAATTAATTATACACAATTTTTTTATTATGTTCATGACAACATCCATTTTCATTTGAGTAGATCTAAAATCAAATATATAGAGTGTAATTTTAGTAGTAAACTAGTAATAGATCTAGTGGGGGTTTTGTGACTTTGGGCGAACAAGTCATTAATAAGAGTACACATTTCAAATATCTTGAGTCTATTGTTTAGAGTAACGATGAAATAGATGGGGATATTATTAGTAGAATTCAAGTTGGATGATTGAAGTGGAGGAATGCATCGGGCTTGTTGTGTGATAGAAAAAGTGCCTCTCAAACTTAAGGGAAAATTCTATAAGATGGTGGTGAGACCTACTATGCTTTATGGTGCAAATATTGGCCATTAAAAGAGAAGCATAATATCAAGTTAATCGTTGCAAAGATGAGGATGCTCAAGTGGATGAGTGGCTTTACTCTTATAGACAAGATACGAAATGAGTATATACGTGAAAAGGTTGGAGTAGCTCCAATTGAAGATAAAATTAGAGAGAGATGTCTTAGATGGTTTGGTCATATAAAACGGTGCTCTTCCAATGACCTGGTTAGTAGAATAGATGTATTAGATTTGACTTTTGGTCACAAAATATTAGAAATGACATTTCTTTATGAGATTTAAATGAAAATTTGACCCTTAACATGACACAATGGAGTAAAATGATTCATGTAGCCAACCCCACGTAGTGGGATAAAATCTTGTTGTTGTTGTTGTTGTTGTTGCTGTTGTATGACAATATCAATTTAGGACAAGATAATATTAAGTTAATGAGAATATCCATTTTGATCTTTTAATCAACTTAATTAGAGTTAAATGATTTTTATCAAATAATTTTAGTCAAAGTACTTTAAGCAACAATTTAACAATGATTTCATTAAAAAATCATCATTTATACTTGACATAGCAAATCTAAGTACAACATAACATAGTTCAAAATGCCATTACCAAACTGAGCCTTAAAGGTGAATTTTATGAAAGTGTGACTGAATAGGTAAAATTTATGAATCAAAATGTTGCATGACAATTAAAAACTGATAGCAAGTTGAGTGTGGTAGAAATGAGTTGTTAATATGATCGTGTGATAAAACTAAAGATGATAGGGCAATAAATAGACTTGATAGGTTTGAACAATAGGTCGGGAAATATAAAATAATGTGTTCTGCGCAAGTATGTTATGTTAGAGATCAGAAGATTAAACAAGCAGATATGATTACCATGGAAACAAGGAAAAGTATGTAATAGCTACTAAGGAATAAGTTTTGTGAGGAGAAAATGAGATTTATAGAACAACTAAGATAAGAGATAAGAGATCTAAAAATTTTAGTCAAGTTAGTTGTATTGAAAGTGCAGATAATGTCATATTAATTAAAGATGCAGACATAAAAAAAAGATATAAATATTTCTTTGAAATTTTACTACATAAAAAAATTAATTTTGGTGAAGTGTAATGAACGATTTAGTGAAGTATTATAGTTTGCTCCAAAAAAGTAAATTGAAGTTAGCTCTGAAAAGAGATTCATAAAAGTAATATTTGAGGTCTAGATGAGAGCTTATTGAGATATAGAGAATTATAAGGATATTGCTGATTAGTTAACAAATCTTTTTAATAGAATTTTGCACCGTAAAAATATGTCAAATGATTGAGAGATATCCATATTTATAAAAAAAGAAGCAAATTTTAGAATTGCACAAATTGTAAAGAAGTCAAAAGTATATGAGTCATATGATAAAACTATAAGAGACTTAAAAAAAATTATGATAGCTTTAAAGAATCAATTTGATTTAAAATTAGGAAAATCTACTATGGAAATAATTTTTATTTTATGAAAATTAACAATTTACTATAAAGAACAAAGAAATGTACTTTATATGAATTTTAATCATCATGTGAAAACATATGATTAAGTACCATGTGAATTGATTTGGTGTACATTAATATAGAAAGGTTTGTGTCGAAATTATATTAATGTTATAAAAGATTGTATTTGGCGCATTGGCTAGTAATAATAATTGTAGAATGATCATAGAGTTTTCAATTACAATAGGTTTACATCAAAGATTAGCATTGAATCCATACCTTCAACTTTGTTTTAAATACCGCAGAGCTAAGGTATCACCATCCCACACTAAGGAAATGAATAAAATTAAGCAGACTAGTATGGGTAAAGAAGCTCCAGGGATCTATGTATAAAACAACCAAGACAGTGTAAACCACCCTCCACTTCCAGCATATACTTTCAGACAAAAATTCAGCTTATCAATCATTTAGAAAGTCCAATAATGTTTTATAACAAAATGGATGCAATTTTTTGGGGATAATTTTAAAAGTTCATATTTCTAGGGGAACTAATCATAAGGAAGGATATATAAGAAACCCTAAAAGCAAGTATGATACCTGCAATAAAACTATACATGTCGGCCTATTTGGCAGGAACAATATAAAAAGCAGCAGTTATAAATGATTACTATAAAGTACTCCAACGAAATAAAAAACTCATTTTCAATTTGTTAAAAAAATAAGAAATAATTACATGTGTAAGGATTAGAACCAAGGACAAACCAACTTGCAGGCCAAAAAATAAAATAAGTACATCTCCTTACCTTATCCACTTGAGAAGTAATAAAAATGTTCATGAGATACTGAAATAGGGGTAAAAGGATGCTAGTATGC